CAAACATACAAACATACAAACATACAAACAAACTAACAGACATACAAGCATACAAACATACAAACATACAAACATACAAACAAACTAACAGACATACAAACATACAAACATACAAACATACAAACATACAAACATACAAACAAACTAACAGACATACAAGCATACAAACATACAAACGTACAAACATACAAACAAACTAACAAACATACAAACAAACTAACAAACATACAAACAAACTAACAAACATGCAAACATACACACATACAAACAAACTAACAAACATGCAAACAAACAGACACACAAACATACAAACACACTAAACAGAACAAACAACACAGGAATAAGAGCCACCTTTACGCTACCTCAAAATTACAAAGTTCTATCTGATATTTCTGACCGTTTTGAGTTCCTAAAACCTTGAAATAAAAACTAAATAGTTTTATTTACTATCTGCTCTATAGAAATCGTAAGATTATTTGGAGTCGTTATCAAGATAATCAAAGAACTGCATTCATAAAAGGCTGACGTGTTGTGCGAACTCAAAATCTTTGACGTCAAATTTCTCAAAGCTAGATCTAGGTACTGTAGTATTGAACATAATACAGGACTTGGTAATTCTTAGATAGCGTAATGTTGATACCATGGTGTAGCTTGCTCCTTCTTTATCGTCTAAATCTTTCGTCTTTATCCCCCCCCCCCCCCATTCTTTTCTTTATACTCTTTACGAACATCCCTAATCTTTGTGGTATAGTGGTTAGGCTACCGGGCTTATAATCGAGAGATTGCAAGTTCGGGGGTTCGAGCCTCAGCTCGGTCCGACGTTGTGTCCTTGGGAAAGGTACTTTACACGAACTTCCCACTTGGCTCGGTCCTTTCGGAGATGGACGTTAAACTCGGAGGTCCCGCCTCTTAACTAATAGTGTTGGCGGCCATTTCCTGGCTAATTTTACCACTGAAACCAGGCGGACCCCACTACCTTCATTTGCAAATATGAAGACTTCTGTTCATGATAAATGAGTCTATTTTTCACCGAAAGCAAAGAGAAATGAAAACCAATAACTCCACATGTCCAAAAATTGACAAGCGCCTGATTCTACAGGGTCGTGATACACTGGAAGCTCATTTTCTAGAGACAAAGAATACGTTTTAATTAACCCTATCCGTTAAGCCTATACCATTTCACCATTTTTACCCCTAATCTTGGTTATTCTAAGGGAAAAGATTAATTCATGAACGGACAGACCGTTGTCCCACTCACCTGTAGCCCAGCTTCTCCGCCGCCCACCAGAACCCGTCCGACTGGCGATCCTCCCGCCCAAACACCAGCAGGACCTGGGGACAGACGTCAGACACAATATTACTCAACGGTGAGGCATCGTGGTGAAATCAGGCGCTCGTCAACATAACGGATTCAAAGAAGGACAAAGGAATATTTCTGTGCGTTTGGAAATTTTAATAGAATTTGTGTTTTTTGAACCCTTTAATGTCCTTTTAAAAACACATTACTGTGTGGAATTTGCTGAAAATGTTGATTTAGGGCACAAAAATATAAATTTTCATTTCAAAAGACTCTCAAGCTTTGAAATTTGCCAAACTTTGGCGGCCATATTCTCGGTAATTATACCTC